CAAGAGTGCCACACTTTTTTTATTCTTTTAATTTTTAAAAGTTATTTGATCATATCATCAATAATAAAAGCAAGTGTAAAACTTTGCACTGAACTCGCTGCAAATTTTCGCTTAGAATACATGTATTGCCTGCATATACATTACACAAATGGCTGTGAAAAAAAAGGAGGGATAAATAATTATCTTTATTGAGAAATTTACGACTACAAGATATTACATTATGGATTTTTTTTTTTAATTTCCTCATATATTTAGTTTATTTTGTTCTTCTCTGCTTTGTTTATTTCAAATACCACAGAGTTGACGCTTTAGTTAGCAAAAAAAAAAAGACACTTTAGTAGATACCTTTCCTTTTTTTTTCTTTTACTTTAAATAAATGCCTTTCTTCTCTTTTCTTTTTTCTTTTTTCTTTTTCACTTTACATAAAAAGATACATGAGGAAGTTAACAAAGTTATATATAAATACGTATTTCGATCACTAGATTTACATTACCTTCCATTATACCTAATGTATTTGAAAGAATATAAATAATCATAGCTCTCATTAGCTTTTGTTTTTGTTTTTTGGTTCAGTCTAAAAAGAAAAGTTTTTGGGGAAAAAAAACGGGAGAAAAGTGTTGCATTAATGCATTTAGATTGTCTTCAATAACATACATTATTTTAATACATTTATGTTAGGTATTGTCAATCTTTGTTTTGTTTAAATAGCTTTTTCATCTTGCTCTTTTATTTTTTATTAGTTTGAACTTCCATGGTTGAGCCTCCGCATGTTAAAAGGCAACCCGGTACACAATCAGTTAAAGTATCCCGCGTTTATGTAAGGTCTGGAGAAGGATCGAATCTCAAGGAAGTGTAATATGGGCAGCCTACCATAATATAAGTATTAGTGGCTGATTTCACGGGTTGAACCAATGACCTATAAGTCGCACCTATAAACCTCCACTAAAATATTCAATAAATCATTCATTTTGTCTTGATGAATTTGTGTCAAATCAGTGTGATATGATTATGGGTACATATTTCTAACAAACCCATTGAAATACACAAAGAATTAACAAAAAATCATATACTATTTGTTTGTATAAGATACTCTTGCTTCCGACATATATACAATCTTCATTCTTGTAATTCGTACATGTAACGTATATTGGCACCTACCCATTTTCATAAACAGAAAGGAAAAAGAAAAAACTAATTATAATAAACAATTAGGAAATATGTACTTTCTAATTAGAAACATAGATATAATTTTTCTTCATATCAAATATTGCGGGATATGTTTTCTAAAATAATACTACGTACTACATTAAAATAAGGTATTTTAACTATATTCTGCCATGTTTGTCATTTTTTTCTCTAAATAAATGTGAAGTGCCAGATAAATTAAGACTGATTAAATAATATTTAACTAAGTACTCTTACAAAAATGGGAATGGAGAGTTGGCTAGATTCTCATTAAAGATGTGGGTAATAATAGTAGTAATACTATTAGATAAACAACATAAAGTGGTTATGTTGACCCCAGCCGCCAACATGTTTGCAGGAATTTGGAAACATGCATGTACACCTTTTTAATATTGGTTGTCACTTACCCTACCTTTTTTCTTATTTAATTTTTCTTTTATACTGAATGGAAAGAGGGTATGCATGTAGTAAAACGACAACGGGGAAATTATAATAATACTGCAATAATATTCTTTGTAAGTAGATACACGAATTAGCTTGAGTCGTGCTAGACACTGTCATAAGAAATTGTTTCAGCAGTGTGAAATGTTTCCCCAGCATTAAACAAGCTTATCTCTATTTTATTTAGAGGGTACAAGAATCATCAAAATATTTATATTACAATAATCCAGCAAAATTGAAAAGAGAATAAGCATAAAGAAAATTTATAAGTAAAATTGGAAATAAGAGAAGCTAGGCGAGAGCAAGAAAGCTAAGCAGAAAGAGCTTTTTGTTTTTGATGATGGAGAATTGTGTAACCAATGGTGGCTATTTATAATAGTAATTGCATGGAACTTTGTTTTTGCATGGCAAAAGCGCAGCAGAGGATTTGCCACTTTTTACACTTCTTTGCCACTTATCAGAGCCTTCTAGAAGGGCTAAGACATTTGTCCAAAGGGCTTTAAAATATTGCCACAACGCAGACAATGGTAAAGTTGTCTCTGTATGACCTACAGATTGCGGGTTCGAACAATATAGCAACTATTAATATTTACATAGGGTAGACTGTGTACATGATCACACCTCTTGGGGTGCAGTCGTTCCTCGAACCTTACGTGAAAGCGAGATGCCTTGTGCATTAGAGTCCAGTAATTATGGATATACATATTATTTTTATGGAACATATTATTTGTAAATGTACATTGAGTGAGTTTATTTCCCTAGAAAGAAAAAAGAATTGTACATTTAAGTCTCTACCAATTTTTTATTTTATTTTACTTGAACTAATTAGTTAGCTACTATTGCGGAGAGGAAGGGAAAGGAAAAGAGGATGAAAAAACTATTTATGGGAATTCGAATTGTATACCAAAATTCTATTGCTTATATTCTTTTTGGCTATACAAAGTGTTTTAAAAAAAACTGTTGAATCAGGTGGATTGCATCACATTTTCACAAATTTCCATTTTGAGCTCACCAACTCCTATCTTTTTTTGGTGATTTCAATTGAAATGAAAGTACGTTACGATTTTTAACTTTGTATGGAATAGATGAACTTAAACCGAATTACACAGACAAGATTAAAATGGTGAAACTCATTGTCATTTCCATTTTTCAAATGCCAAGATTAAAGACTTTTCATGGTAGCAACACAACATGTGGTTCTCCCGTCGCCAGGAATTTCATCTAGGGTGTTCAAACTTGAAATAAGCAAAAAAAATCTCCAGTAAAGGATGTTCAATATATGTTATATACCATTAAAATATCTAATATTTTACCTATATATATAGAGTATAATTTTTCGACTAAGGGTGATCAGTTGACCACCCTTAGCTAGGGCTATGTACCTTTGTCCCTGGGTTCTCCGATATTATTTAAGAAGTACTCCCCCCGTCTCGAAAAAAAAAGAACTTTTAAATTTTGTTGTTTAAAATAAGTTTTAGACATTTATGTGGTAAGAACTTATCTTATTAAGGGAAAAAATGAAAATGTTGAAGTGAACTTGTTTCTAAATATAAAAAAGTGATAATTTTTTAGGATAAATTAAAAAGGAAAAAGTGCATATAAATTAGGACGTAGGAAGTAAGTTAGTTTAAAGTTCAAACAAAATAATATAATAATAATATTTTGCCTCTACGAAAACCTCCCACCCAAAAAGTTCATGAGATCCACTCTATAAATATTACTATCAAATTTCAGTTTACGATCACATCAACTTTATTATCATCAATCCCATATTATCAAGGGGCGCTAAATATCGAAAATCAAAGAGTTCTTTTTATTTTATTTTTATTTTTTACTTTCACTAAATATCATAAAGATAACACAATTACACATAAGTGGTACATGTATTGTGAACTTATGAGTTTATCTGAACCTAATAGATTAAGTTCGAACCATGTGTATGTATAATTTTCACGGAATAAGAACAAATTATGGATCCACTATTTGCTTACTGGCTTCATATAATTCAAAAAACATTAGTTTTCTCGAAGTTTCTTATTCATATCTCTGATCAAAAGGTATTATTCGATAATGTTTGTCTAGCAGACTCCCTACTAATCCTAAGAAACGTTCAAATATATGTCCTACATTCGTTCGTGAAGGTACTCCATGCGAGTTAAAGACCATATCAACGGATCATCCATATTGTAGATAAGGCATATCTGTTTAAGTAAAATTTTGAAAATGATACCCTTATTTTTGTATCTTCCAAATACTTTATCGCCTAATTTAGTTTCACGTTTATGTAAAATATATACACAATAGTTTCTGGATTATAAATAGAACCACCAGTAAATCAAATAAGCAGTGATAGAACTCGAACTTAAACATACAAAATGTTCAAATCCTAAAGATCCACTCTATAAATATCATCAAATTCCAGTTTACGATCACATCAACCATATTATTATCAATGGACGCTAAATATCGAAAACCAAAGGTTTTTTATTTTTATTTTTATTTCACTATCATAAAGGTTACACCTATACACACAATCGGGCACATGTATTGTGAACTTATAAGTATATCCAGAACCTAATAGTTTCAGCTCCAATCATGTTTATATATTACAAATTCGCGAACCATGGATTCACAAGCTTCATATAATTCAAAAAATTACTAGTTTTTCAAAGCTTCTTGTTTATATCTCTCTTCAAAAAAGTGTTATTTGATAATGACTATCTATCAGACTCACTGCTAACCCTAATGAACATTCAAATATTTGTCTTACATTAGTTTGTGAAGGTACTTCTAATCGGTTAAAGCCTATATCAACATAGCATCCATCTTGTAAATAACGCATATCTTGTCTAGGCAAATTTTTGAAAATAAAACCTTTATTTCCATATCTTCCAACTACTTTATCACCAACTTTGATTTCACGTTTGTATGAAATATATACACAATCGTTTCAGAGTTATAAATAGAACCGCCAGTAAATCAAAGAAGTAGTGGTAGAACTCCGAACTCAAACGCACAAAATATTCAAATTCTAAATCCGCCTCTATTGGTTCTGTATACGTAGGTCGAGGAAATATTTAATTAACTTGATAAAATCGCTTAGGCGGGGAGATACAAGTACGAAAACCCTAGTTTTCAAGTATAGCGGCAAATACAAAATGAATTTGCGAAAATATTCCCAAATTCCAAAAAAGAAAAAACCAAAATTAAATGGCGCCGTTTTCAATTATAACCCAACTCTTTTTGGCGGGTATACAAAACCAATCAAATTTTTCACAACAAGGACATTTTCGTCCTTTCACACTCCCCGCGCGTCTAGGGTTTTCGTATATTATTCCCCTTTATAAACCTCCGATTTTTCCCCAAATCGGCTACGTCTCATTTTCATAAGTCGGTTCTTCGTTATCTTTCTCTGTGGTTCTGTAGCTTTTTCAGTCGGTTCATCACTATCCTATTTTCCCAAACCTTAGCTAACCCTTAATTTCTTCATTTTTCCTTTTAGAAAAAACCTCCACCTTACGTTTATTTAGCAGAAATTGAAGAATTTCACTGTTTTGTTCGCTTTTTTATAGGATAAAATTTAAGATTCAGCTGTTTTTGAGTTTTATTTAGCATTTCCTCATCTGGGTCTTGCTTAGTTTTTGCTAAAACATTCTCATTTGTGATCGCTGAGCTGAGGTCAGTGATTAGGTTTAGAGCTTAGCTGTCTCAAAATGGTGGATTTTAGTGATAAAGTCAGTGATCACGAGGTACTTTTTGTTTTTGTTATTTTTTTTTACTTTTGATCATAAATTTTTTCTATTTATTTATTTTATATATGTGGATTAATGATTTTGATTAAATTGGTTTTGATTTTTAGGTTGCAGAAAATGAAGAGATGAGTGGGCAAAATCAAACCCCAGAAAGAGTTTTATCAGAGAATAGTGAAAGCCAGTTAAAGACTTGTGTTGATTGTGGTACAACTAAAACTCCTCTTTGGAGAGGTGGACCGGCTGGACCTAAGGTCATTTATTAACTCATTTATTTAATTTTGTATTTTGTTTTCTTATTGTTTTCAATTATTTGTTACTAATTTTGATATCACTTCATATGGTAGTGTTTGATTCAACATAGTTAAAATATTAATTTTACTTGTGTACTGTATTAGTAGAATTTAATTTGACAAAGATATTATGATATTATTGGATTGTGATTTACTTTTTGTAAAAAATTAGTAATAAATAAATTCAGAACCCAAGTTGCAATAGTGGTCAATGAGGTATGGATTAAAAAAAATTATTATGTAATTATTTTTGTAATGTTGCGTACACACTATCCTCTCTAGGCCCACATATATTGGATATGATATTGTTGTATGGTGGTGGTAGGTAATAGATATATGGTAAATTAGTTAATATGTGAGTAAGTTTGGCTTGAATATTTGGTAGCTTTTTCCTATTTGTCTAAACTTTTGTGTTTAAAGTTATTTGTTACTTGTAATAGTAGGAGATGATAATTACTCCATTTGGTAAATTAATTAATGTTTGCATAAGTTGGCTTGAACACCATTAGAAAGAGAATAAAAATAATTTTGAGTTCTTGTAAGTTGTAAATGTGATGTTATTAGTGTATTTATGTTTGTAATTTTTGTAACATATCTTGGATGAAAATGTGTCATAAATTTAAAATGAAGTATTTACTTTTGAATAATTAATCCAAATAGTTGCCCACTCAACCATTTAAACTAAAAATAGCCAATGGATGTATGATGTTTGTATAATCAGTATATAATATGTGTATAATCATGTATAATTAGTGTATAATTCATGTATATCGGCCAAGAAGAGTAAATGTTGAGCCCCCAGGGCCTAGCTCAAGTGGCAAAGGGCGGTGGATTTGTGTCTTAGGTCACAGGTTCAGGCCCCCACACCATGCAAAGCAAAGCCTGGTATTTAAGTGGAGAAGGGTAGAGGGGTGGGCCCATTAACCACCTAGTTTTGAAGGCTGCGGTTGGTCCAAAGGATTGGCCCCAGACGGATTTCTCGGTCATAAAAAAAGAGTAAATGTTGAATTTGGCCGGCTATTTGTGTACAAATCTCATTTTCAAATAATTTTCTTGAGTCTGATGATTTGATCATGTTGAATGCAGTCATTGTGTAATGCATGTGGAATAAGGAGCAGGAAAAAGAGAAGGGCACTTTTGGGATTGAACAAAGAAGACAAGAAACCAAAAAAATCAATGGGATCTTCAAATAAAAGTATTAGCCAACATCATAATCAGAACAACCAGAGCAGTAATAGCAGTACAAGCAGCAGTGAGGAAAGTACAACCAGTAATGCAGTAAAGAACAATAAATGTATTCCATTTAAAAAGAGATTATTGCATTTTGGTAGAGAAGTAGCTTTACAAAGACCAAGATCAAGCTCTACACAACACAGGAGGAAATTGGGAGAAGAAGAACAAGCAGCTTTCTTGTTAATGGCTCTTTCTTGTGGTTCTGTTTATGCTTAGAAAATGAAGAAAATAATTAAGGAAAAAAAAGTTGTACTCTTGGCAATGATTGTAGTACCTTTTAGCCTTTTTGGGTTGGTTGATCAAGAAGGTAGGTACATGAGTAGAATCTTAAATGATAAAAAAAAGAGCTTAATCAAGTTGATAGCTCTTAAGAATGTAGGGTTGAGAATTGGCTTGTGTTTTAATTTAATTAAATTTACTTGAACCTAATTAGAGTTATTGGTAATGGCTACTTTATTAGTATTGGACGAAGCTTGTTGATCATATTATTAACCAATAAATGCAAGTTTTCGTACATTTGCATTTAATCAACAATAATAGTATACTTAGTATAATTTAATAGAATTTAAGGAGGATAATGTGCAAATAAATTTTATTCTTATCTTGTGAAGGTAGAGGTTATTTTCTTTAAATCCTTGGTTTAAAGAACCCATAATTAGAAAAAAGAAGAAGGAATAATAATCAAAGTAAGCGATAATAGATAATAATAAAAACCTAAGAATAGTAAATACGAGAGTAACATTGTACTAAAGGTATGGAAAAGAAATACAAATTTGAAAAAGAAGTATGTTTGATTATTTATTAATTTACTACCTTAATCTTCGATCTTCACCTATTTGTATTTAATCATAATTACTTAAATCTAACAAGAATAATATTGATCTACACCTTTTAGTTAGCAATTCGTTTTGTATTTGCTCTAAATCCTAATGAAAACTTTAACCTAAAGTTTAATACTGTAGATTATAGTTCAAAACACGTGAAATCTTTGCTAACAAACAAGACTATTTTTTTCCACAATAGAATAGAAGGTAAATTTAAAATATTTTGTGTAATAGAGGGTTAAATTTGTATTTTTATCCTTTATTATAGCATTGCAAGAGACATTTACATGTGAGTCACATAGTAAAATTTGTCTCATTTTGGATGCATTCGTCACGTGTTTAAAGTCAGCAAGAGTAGCATATTCCCTTTCTAAGTTTCTAGTTTGTCATTTCTCTTTTTGTACTCTACTGACTCACACTGAATTTCCAGCTCATGGTTGAAAATTATTTTGTGATTTCCTATTCTTATTTTTATTACGAATAAAACTTTGAAAAAAGTATAAAGAAATAAGAGAAAGATAAATACATAGTTAAAAATATATTATATTGTATATAATATAGAAGGTATTACATAAATATGAAAGTTTAATTTACATAATATCAAGGGCATAATAGACTTTTCAAGTAAAAAGTGACTTTTGTGATAATTAGAGCAAAGTAAAATGATTTTTGTGTAACAAAAGAAAGAAAAGTGACTTTTGTGTAATAAATACAAAGTTGAATGATTTTTACGTAACAAAAAAAAAGAAAAGTGACTTTTAACAAATACAAAAGTTCAATGACCATGGATAAAATTAACTCAAAGATAAATAGGGAACACTTTGTTCACACTCATGGGTCATTTGGTTGGGAAAGAAGTTATTCCACATTCCCATAAGAATAAAAAAATACTACAACCCGGGATTAGTTATACCACTATTTTATCCCGACCAAACATAGGACTAACTCATCTCAAATTTAATCCCGACATTAATTATCCTTTATCTCTCGTACCAAACGAGCCCTTAATATGAACTTTGAACCACCGAACGATGTGGTGCAACTGATGAGGTTGCTCTTCTCTTAACCAGATGTTTCGAGTTTGGGCCCTGGGTATGGAAAAATCCATGGTAGGGAGCGCTCCCCCCCCCCCCCCCCTTCCCCCAATGGGGCCTTACGCAGCGCGAATCCGGATATAGTTGGGCTCCAATACGGATATCAGACACCGGGTGAGAAACCAAAAAAGAAAAAATGAACTTTGAACACCAAAAAAGATTATGGTAGCTAGGATATATAGGAACCGCTCCACTCTTATTCAGAAGTTTCGATTTCGAGCCCTAAAAATAAAAAAAAATCGCGGTAGAAAGCGTTTTCTCCTTCAATAGGCTTATGTGATACACATTTAAACTAGTCGAGAATCTAATGTGGGTACCGAATACAGAGTGAATAATAAAAACATAGACAATTGTGTTTTTTTAGCTAAATCAAACTTAGAAGCTAAGGACTTAGAAAGCAGAAATTGGGTCAACACAACATCCTCAGTGTTGTACAGAAATAGCTAAAGTGCAGAACATATATTGTAATATATACATCTCAAGTTGTGAATCTGCTCATCTAAAATAAAACACAAAAAAAAAAAAAAAAAAGATGACACCAATGATCAGATAAATGAGCAACTAAGGAAGTACTGGAGACTTGTGCTTTGTAGCAATTGAAATTCAAATCTGTACACTAAGATCAATCTGAAAGTGAACCAAAAAATGAGAATTATTTAAGCTAGAAATTTGATATCTTTACAAAAAAAAAAAAAAAAAAAAAATGCTACGTCGCTTGAGCGCTATAGCATTCAAAACTTTGCATGCATGCATTGGCAAAACCATGTAGCAGCACCTTCTTCACATTTTACATTGGAAGATTGTCTAATGGATCGTCATCATCGCCAAACGCAGTTTCAACTGGTCCAATGCTTTGTTGCTGTTGCTAGTACAGCAAATTAATCAAAATCAGTGAAAAGGCAGCAGCTATTAGCTTAGACAATGAAAACATTGAAACCTGTGTATTTAAAAACTACACACGTCGTCGCTTAAGGCGATAAAGCAATTCGAAGCGAAGATTACGCTTCATTTCTGAAGCCATGTGCTTCGGAGAAGTGTGCACTTCAAACAATGACGCGCAAAGTGATCCTAATGAGAAGGAATTGATTCTTTGAATTTCAAATTTGAGAAGTTGGATTAATATCAACATCTTCGTAAATTGGACGATAAAATTAGTTATTATTAATTGCAACTTTATTATCAACAACAACATATCCAGTATATTCCCACAAGTGGGGTCTGGGAAGGGTAGTATGTACGCAGTCTTTACGCCTACCTTGTGAAGGTAAAGAAGTTGTTTCCGGAAGATCCTCGGTTCAACAAAGCAAAATCAACACAGTTATGACAAAGAGCTACGGAAAACGAAATAGTAACAACAGCCAGAAAAAATAAAAACGAAGCAAAGGAAACATCGGGTAATAGTATCGATAAAATAGGGGACACAAGGAATTTGATTATCATAATACCAAAATCATATATGTTTGATGTCTTCTAATTTCCTTAACTTGTGTGCTTCACTTCTAGCTTTTCGCTTAAATACCCATGGACCTTGTCGCTTCTTTGCACTTTCCAACTTTAAAAAACATTGATCTTTTAAAGCAAAGTGAAAATAACAAACTATTTCCGAGGGTCTTCCGGAAACATCTTTCTATCTTCACAAAGTAGGGATAAGGACTGCATACATACTACCCTCCCCATATCCCACTTGTGGGAATATACTAGGTATGTTGTTATTGAAGATAACAAATTAAGACTAACCTGCTCGAAAAAGGCACTCATGAGGTCCTCCTGTCCAAATGGCTCACCTCCAAGAAGTGAGTTAAGTTGTGATCCGTCCATAAGATTAACGCGTCCAGTTTCTTGCCCGTTAGAGAGAACTGATTCCGCAATAGGAGTATTTATATTCTGTCCACTCTTCTCCACTGAAGAAATACCATGTTGTATACTAGAATGATAAGAGGTATCAAAGGTTGATCCAACATTATGTAAACACCAGTCCTGTGTCGTTTGCTGATACTGTTCGCTAAAACTATCGTCATTAGGAGAGAACCCTCTAGATCCTCTAATGTCAATGTTAACCTCTTCCTTAAGCATCCCTTTAGTTGCCAGAGTGGACGTTGCTGAATTGCTACTTGCGGAAAAGCTGCTGCCTCGCAACTGCATGTTTTGGTTCAATGAGAAATCTACCGCTGAATATGCCTGTGAAGCATGATTGTATATACCACCTCGTGCATTGTCAACAATACCATTCTGTAAGGACTGCTTTGGTTCCACGGCTGTTGGGATTCCGTAAAGCAAGTTAACTTGCTTATTGCTATTGTTCAGTTGTTGCTGAGTTTGAGATCTCAACTTGGGATTTTCAAAGCTAAATTGGTTTCTTTGGTCTACCAGGGGAACATATAAGGATGATTTTGTTGCAGACTGACCCAATGCTGCTCCCCAGAGGGTAGCAAGACTTTGTGCAGGAAGTTGACCGTTAGGCGGTGTCCCAAAGGTTGCTTCTGAGTGTCCGATGAAAGAATAATTCAGTCCACTCTGATGCTGTGGTACACCCATCGACTTCTTTAGCAACAGCCGATATTTCTGCAGCAAATGGTTGGCACTAATAAGTATTTAATCAATCAATCGACCACACCACTAACAAGTAGTTTAAAGTAAAAGTAGTCGAATTATCACACATATGCCTATCCCAACTTAATACAAGTGTAACATCAATGACTGCACATTTACAACTAGCTGGTGTCGTCTATATAGATCATTTGCTTTCATTCTGTTCTATTCTAGTTATTTTCGCATTTATTCTTATGTCTTTTGAGGCAACTCCCTTCTGTAGTTTCGACCTACAGACTAGTGAAGATATCAGGGAACAACTCAGTTGACTACATGTTGCAGGTATGCAAAAGACATGAAGTCGTTCACCTACGAAACTTCTAATGCATGATATTCTTGAAAGGGAAAAAAGGTAAAGGTCCTCGGTACCTGAAGGTGGCTAGCAACATGTTCTCTTTTTAGCCAAGGAACATTCATCAGTTCCAGAATTTTCTTGGGAACAGCCCCTGCATTCATAGTTAGAGTTGAGACGAGAAATACAGCAAGACCTCTCTACAACATCGTTCATATATAATAACCATTCACTATGAAAACCAAGTTTTTCTCATAACCAATCTTTTATGTTATGTTATAATGTATGTCCTCTATAAAAAGACTTCACTATAACAGCCAAAAGATATTGGAACAAACGAAGTTGTTATAGAGAGGTTTGACTGTATACATACATTCGAGAAGCTAATATTGACTGTTAATTAACTGTATAGTAGAAGGCCCTACAATAAGGTATGCAATGACTGAGAAGAGTTACAAATTTTAACTAAACCCTTACATTAAGAAATATCGACAATTACAGACAGTGGAGTCAAGCGAGAACGAAACTGATGTTATACTTGTAAAGCAGACCAACAATATAACCATCTGTCATTGATATTTTCTGTAGTTATAAAGTACAAAATGTTCTACTACTTAAGAGAGAATGAGGGCAGTGAGC